GATGGATAGATAGATAGATAGATAGATAGATAGATAGATAGATAGATAGATAGATAGATAGATAGATAGATAGATAGATAGATAGATAGATAGATAGATAGATAGATAGATAGATAGATAGATAGATGGATATAGATGGATAGATGGATATAGATGGATGGATGGATGGATGGATGGATGGATGGATGGATGGATGGATGGATGGATGGATGGATGGATGGATGGATGGATGGATGGATGGATGGATAGATAGATAGATAGATAGAAAGTAATAGTGATTGAAACAGAGAGAGGGAGAAGGTGACATAGTGATTGAGAGAGAGAAAAGGGGGAGAAATAGTTGTATAATAATTGAGAGAGAGAAGTGGGGAGAAGGAGAAGAAATTGATATATAGATATAAAGGGACAGTAATTAAAACAGAGAGAAAGAAGGTAACATAATGATGGAGAGAGGGTGAAATAGAGAGAGAGAAATTGATATAGTGATTGTGTCTTTGTGTGTGTGTGTGAGAGAGAAAGAGAGAGAGAGAGAGAGAGAGAAAGAGACAACTATCCAAGCACCCATGGTGGATAGGACTAGTTAGCCTTGGACGGCAACTCATCTTATAGAAGGCAAACTCTGAATTCAAACAAGGTGCCAGAATGATCAATAAATTAATCGGGGGCCATCAAAACTTAGAAGAAGAAGAAGAAGAAAGAGAGAGAGAGAGAGAGAGAGAGAGAGAGAGAGAGAGAGAGAGAGAGAGAGAGAGAGAGAGAGAGAGAGAGAGAGAGAGAGAGAGAGAGAGAGAGAGAGAGAGAGAGAGAGAGTGAGAGAGAGAGAGAGNGAGAGAGAGAGAGAGAGAGAGAGAGAGAGGGGGATAGTGAGTGAGTGTTACTGTAAATACACGATCTCCCTAAGACCTCTGTCTACTTACACTTTAATATCATAATTTTTCCTTATATGCTCTCCATCCCTTTTCTGAAGAATTATAATCCTGAAAATTTAGCATCTACATTTTGGATCATTGTGGTATTGGTTAAAAAACACGATCAATCAATATAGGTGGCCAATGCTTAATTAGCTGTATGATTAGTACACATTTAAAACAAACACGCAGAATTTAAAATGCTATTTGAAATATGTTTTTTTTTTAATGTTAGCCTTAAAAATATTTTAGGAAAACAACAAAAACGGATATTTTCCGGGACAGAATTTAATTTGAAAAATACAGTTAAAGGAAAATTCCAGATTCAGGCGATTACGTGCTGAACAAATGTTGTTTTTTTTATTAGTGCAGCTGAGGGACTTTCCCTAAATAGCAAAGAAGGTGGCCTTAAAAAATAGCACCAGCTACATGTCTAAATTAATGGCTCTCAGAGTGAAGAAATGGTATTACATAATGTGTCTCTTCATAAGGTGACATTAGTGAACAAATAGTACTGACAACCATTTAACTTTACGCCAGTTCTTGACAAATGAAAACTGTAATTACCCACACCTACATTACAATCATTTACATTATAATCACCCACATTAGAAATACCCCAAATCGCAATCAGTCATAATTAAAATAACCGACATTATAATCAGCCAGATTAAATTTATCCAAATTAAAATTTTCAAATAACCTTCACTATTATCAACTACTTTCTGATAATTTCTATCACAATCCCCACTTGAATCCCCCAAGCAATTATCACAAGCATTTTAATACGACTTTTAAAAGAACCACAATTTTATTAATCAAGACCTCATTGGATAAATCAGCAATATTGATGATCACGCACAGTATCTTTCTTTACGTGTTTTGCTTAATTTTTTTTTTTTACTAAAGACACACTTGTTCGTGATTGGCTAGCTGAGTGGTGGACTGGCTGACTGGCAAACTCTTCGGACGGCGAATTGACCCGTCGACCTATCGAACTGAACCTTGGCACATGGCAAAGATAACACGCTTACCAAGTTTCAGCCCCACCCAAAACCCCAATCCCCTAAAAAAACTAGTTTTTCCTGTTGTTCAACGTGAACATGATGGAAATTTCCCGATACAAGTGCTACATGAGATTCTTTAAAAAGGGATAAATGTACTAGTGAGATAAATCTGCTGGTGAGATAAATCTACTAGTGAGATAAATCTGCTGGTGAGATAAATCTACTAGTGAGATAAACCTGCTGGTGAGATAAATCTGCTGGTGAGATAAATCTACTAGTGAGATAAATCTACTAGTGAGATAAATCTACTAGTGAGATAAATCTACTAGTGAGATAAATCTACTAGTGAGATAAATCTGCTGGTGAGATAAATCTACTAGTGAGATAAATCTACTAGTGAGATAAATCTGCTGGTGAGATAAATCTACTAGTGAGATAAATCTACTAGTGAGATAAATCTACAAGTGAGATAAATCTACTAGTGAGATAAATCTGCTGGTGAGATAAATCTACTAGTGTGATAAATCTGCTGGTGAGATAAATCTACTAGTGAGATAAATCTACTAGTGAGATAAATCTGCTGGTGAGATAAATCTACTAGTGAGATAAATCTACTAGTGAGATAAATCTACTAGTGAGATAAATCTACTAGTGAGATAAATCTGCTGGTGAGATAAATCTACTAGTGAGATAAATCTGCTGGTGAGATAAATCTACTAGTGAGATAAATCTACTAGTGAGATAAATCTGCTGGTGAGATAAATCTACTAGTGAGATAAATCTGCTGGTGAGATAAATCTACTAGTGAGATAAATCTGCTGGTGAGATAAATATGCTAGTGAGATAAATCTACTGGTGAGATAAATATGCTGGTGAGATAAATCTACTGGTGAGATAAATCTACTGGTGAGATAAATCTACTGTAGAGATAAATCTGCTAGTGAGATAAATCTACTGGTGAGATAAATCTACTGATGAGATAAATCTGCTGTTTAAATGTTAGTGCTAGGATATTAATAAAGTTCAGGAGCGTGAACATTTGTGCGGTTGTGAGCCTTCTGTGTGTGTGTGTGTGTGTGTGTGTGGATTGGGGTGTGGGGGTGGGGGACGGATTTGGATTCTTATATAGTGCGTGACTTGTACGCCTCAAATTCAGAATGTAAAGAAGTGTACAATATTGTCAACAGATGCGGGCATTTTGTAAAGTGTACAGCAACTGTAATCATTTTTAAAAAAAAAATGTACAACACCTTTGCGTCTTTTGACGCCACTTCCAATATTTTTAATGAATCCCATGATTAATTTTAGTCAATGGTTCTTGCTTTTCCCACGTTTACGAATACGTCTGGATAGAATCGAGTACATAGCACGGTAAGTGACATGAATAACTACTTATACCATCCTAAGGCAGAAATAGTAGTAATTCATAGCTGTTGGGAAAAAAATATTTCATTGTTATCCGAGATATTATCAGGATATTAATAAAGTTCAGGAGCGTGAACATTTGTGCGGTTGTGAGCCTTCTGTGTGTG